GTTAGTGTTCCCTCTAAAGTTTACCAAGGTTTTCTCTCAATTCAAGCAATTTATTTTTGAGATGAAAATGCTAGGGAAGAACATTGTTTGCCTGTTTTTATACACTGAAATGTAACATCAATAACTCACCATCTCTGTCAATGTTCGGAAATCTTTCCCTGAGAGGCCACTTAGGCTGGCCATGGTAATTTTTCAGTACATTCTTAGGCACTGTATTGAGTACTTTTTCAATGTTGTCCTCGTGCACGGATATAGCCTCTATAACTAGCGTCATTTGTTCAGCCTCGTTAGCACCAGGAAATATAGGTTTCCCCAGCAGCATTTCAGCCAATATGCAACCACAGGACCACATGTCTATAGCTTTAGTGTAATCGTTGGGTGTAAGCATCAGTTCTGGTGATCGGTACCACCTAGTAGAAATATTTTCACTCAAGAATCCCTGTTGACAGAACAAAATATTTAGCTAAGTAAGTACTATACATAAAGTACCCAGTAGTCCTGCTTGTTATCATCAACAAATGATTAAAAGCAATTTATTACATATTCAAAATTTATATTGAAATGAAGAAAGTGAATGCATAATATGAGCAGAGGGCAGCAGTTAATGATCACTGGTCATAGTGACTGAGTGATATTACATGATACACAAGAAACTTTGTCCTATCCATTAATGCACTGTTATAGACATCTATTTAAATTTGTCATTCATTATACTACTATATTTATCTGAAAGATCACCCACTGCAAAAGATTGTCTATGGGTGATGTTTCTGCACTGGGAGATAATCAGATTTCTTGGCGTCGCAAAAACAAATAAATACCAGAAAAAAACTCAGTCGTAAAAATAATTGTTTTTTTTCGAGAGTGTGAATACAAATCCGCATTGGCAGATTTAGCAAGAATTTCACACACAATGACAGTAATGTCTGAAGGAGTTTTGTAGAAAGTACGCTATTCTGCCAAAAAATCATGTGACATCCAAGTTATGTCCAAGTTAGACATTCAAAAAACTAGGTACTGTTTCCCCCAAAAATATATAATGCCAGTTCCTTGTTTAGATGTAATCAGAAATTCAAAATTATTGTTCTGAATTCATGCATCGGATCACTCATGACACCCATATATTGATGAACTTTCAACCTATCAAGAATATCCCACCCAAGTCATTCAAGCTATTAGAGTGATGCTTACTAATTCAAACCGCATTGAAGTTCACATTTTGTCGAAATCAACGCTGGTACGATGTGTTTTGATATCCAGTATGAGGTGAAGCATGAAGCACACAGTATGTCACATTTAACAATCTGTTTTTTTTGTTTTTGTTTTAAATTGTTTGACAATAATGATTTCCGTTGTATGTTTTGCATAAAAAGTTAGAGCACGATTATAAAAAAAATACTAAATTGAAATAATTTTTTTTTTCAAATTGAAACTGGTTCACGAATAGTATTAGTAGAGTTTGGGAATTAACAGTTTTTACAGTACCAAGTGTGAATCAAACTACTGTATGAGAAAGCCTATCTGTGTTGACGCCGGATGTGGACAAGAAAACAGTTGATTGCACAGAACAATATGACAAAAAAGTGCCAAAACATTGCCGTGGGCAATTTTCTGGTTCTGGAGGTCTCCCAAAATATGTCCTTGTCTAAAACAGTGCCTAGGGCAATCTTTCAGATAAATACGGTAAATGTAATTATCAGTATGTGACACTTTCGTATATAGCATTAATTACAATACTGTTGGGTGAACTCAAAAAATGATAAATAATACAATTAATCCTAGCAAATCTAATTTGCGCAGGTTGTGGCCAACCATATGAAGATCAGTAAATGAAAAATATTAATTTTTATCTAGAACATCATATACTAGTTGTGCAATATAGTTTACTGTGCCCGAACAGAATTCTTTCTTCAGGCCATTATGCCACAGCATATATACTTACTTTATGAGAGTAAGTTGGATCAATAATCCGGGCTAAACCAAAATCACCGATCTTTAAAGTCATATCTTCCAAATTAATCAACAAATTGCTTGGTTTAAGGTCACGATGTAATACATTGGCACTATGAATATACTTCAGGGCACGAAGTAACTGGTACATAAACAACCGTATATGTTCACTGCTCAAAGTCTGGCTCTGTATAACTTTGTGTAGATCGGTGTCAAGTAATTCCTGCACTAGGTAGACAATTCGGAATTCATTGATGTTTGGAACTGTATACAGATCGATAATATCACCATGAGTACCGAGTATTTCGTACAATCGAACAATATTATCATGCTGTAAACGCCGGATAATTTTTATCTCCCTCAGAGCAAGCCTGCAGCTTCTTCGATCACTGAATGCAATTCGTTTTACTGCAACATGTTTGTCACATTCGCTATCAACAGCAGAACATACAAGACCATTACCACCGAAACCCAATGGTTTTAGATCAGTATAACGTGGTCCAATTTTAAAACGGTACTGGAGAGGTGATAACAGTTTACGGTCTACCATGATGACTAAGAGTGCGATTTTGTGACTGGCAGGAGAGCTGGAGATAGGCCTGTTGAGCAGGAGATAAAGTCTGTATTATCAACACAGAAACCTAAGAAAAATAAAAGAATGTATAGTTAGTACTGTAATATTGAATTCCACGTCGGAATAAACTAAACATCTGGTCCCAGAATGTTGCATGTGTTGATACAGATCATGACCCTGCATACGTGAGCCAACAACATTTTAAACTGAGACTATTATAAGGCATATTAGCTAATAGTATCTTACAGTGTGGATAACATTTAGAGGGATTTAACCAGCCCAATGCAAGCGCTGGTTGCTCATATAATGTCTTACTATAAGGAAGGGGGGGGGGGGTACTCTTTTTCCAAAATTGTCACAAAGACTCAAATTTATAGACTTCACATAACAAAATACTTGTCATATCTTACATAATAATAGTGTGTGCCATATTTCTCCATTAAGTGACAGATTTAAAGAAAATTATGACTACTTGACCCTTAGTTTTACATGACATTAGACTTGTGTAGGCTCACATTATCCATACAACTGTGTCTAAAACAATATTTTGACAAGATTTTGTCATCTTTACGTGGTTATATTTAAATTCTGATTCCCACAAACAAAAATGTTACTGACCAATTTTATGTATCTCTGAGTTGTACATCTGAACATGGAGGTAAACTACTGTAAAGGAGGTAATTATTCACTGTGTTTTAATTTAGCTCATTTTGCTGACTGGAAAATGTGCTAAATTAAAACACAGTGAATATGTAAAATTTAGCATAGAACACATTATCTAAATGACGAAACCGTGAATTTAAAACCTACTGAATATGCCTGAAATCAGTGAAATTTAAACCCAGTGAAAATTAGTCATTTTACAGTATACTGAGAAGCATGAAATCTGGACCCAAAATACAACTAGCAAAATATCAAATGACACCCAGACCTTATTCATTTTCCAGATCAAATATGGAACAAACAGATTTTTAGGATTTAAATTTCAGTGGAAAACAAAAGAAAAATCCAAAGTGCACACAATGCAGACAATAGAGATTACTTCCTGTGTATAGCTGCATTTGCACACAGCTCCATAACATCATGGAACTATAAACCACAGGAAGAACAACGAAACTAAGAGGATTATAAAAACCTTTGTCTTAGTTTATCTTACAGTGCTTTCGCTTTTGTTTCCACAACATTAGTCATACTCCATGTTAGTTGCCGCTGATACGCCCATATCAACTGCGTTTGCTGGGAACAGAAAACTTGAAAAAAATTTCATATCTGCGCAGTAAAATATTTCGTTCAAAACGCATGCGCAAAGAAGTCGGTCTGCAGGGTTACCTTCAGTGTAATGGAAATCATGCAGCGGGTCGGAGTTTTAGCGAGTTTTCATATTTTTTTAGATTATTTCTTGTTTTTTTCAACCCTCGAAAAAATAAGGTTGCGAAAGTTTGCGAAACATGGGGTTTGGTATGCTGTTTGTTGCCAGAAGTGGCAATGTGTTTTTTTTTTCCCGTTGAATGTCGCTCATTTATCAGTGTTTTTGTCTTGGCGCCATTGTTTTTTTATGCTATAACCGAAACAACTCGATCACGTGATCTCCCGAAGTCGCCTGATTGACTCCGAAAATGACCGATAGTCGGAGATTAACGTTCATTTGCGTAAATTGCCTTATATTTTAATGCGACGAAATAAACAGTCAAAATAAACATTCAACATCGCGGCAACTATCATAGTTCAAAGGAAACGAAGTGGTTGTTCTTCCTGTGGTTTATAGTTCCATGATAACATAGACTAAGAGGTCAAAAACATTAGCTTGTGAGTTAATGTTCATTTGGAAGATTTACTATTATATTCTTACTGTTCATCTTGGTACAAGTTTGAAAATCTGAAGCCCATTCTTACAGACGGACCGGAACAGGAAGTCAATGGAAAACAAAAGATTTTTTCGTTAGCGTGTG